CACACACACACACACACACACACAGCCCCATACATGCATACCTTCACACACACACACACACATGCAAACCTCAAACTAAACGGTGCTCTTGGGCGTGAAGGCGGTTCTTTCTCCTTCTGTCTCGGGTGAGATGTTAGAGACATCTCACCCGAGACCTTTCTAAAGGTGTGAGACAAAGCATCATGTGCATGCTGAATAACCAGTTCACTGCCTGAAAGGTAAATATTACAAAACCGTTGCATTGATGAGTCATCGAGCATTGCCGTGTTTATGTCTGAAACCACAGCTCACCTCTTCCTCTTCTCTCCCCCCCCACCACAGAGCCTGGTCAGCAGAAGTCCTTTAAGAGGAAGAGGTCTCTGATCAACTGGCCCTTCTGGAGAGGCTCCAGCTCGCAGCTGGACGGCCTCCCCCTGTCCCCGACCTCGCCGTCCCCCACGCAGGGACGGCTGTTCGGACGACCCCTGAGCTCCGTCTGCTCTCCGGACCACGGCCTGCCCAAGCCCGTCATGGTGAGCCGAGCGGCGGGGTGACGTGGGCCAGCTGGAGGGGGGGTCACGGGGTATTTTGGGAATTGTAGTGGCAGTAGACCCTGTTGCTGTTAGATTACTGCTCTGTGGCTAAATGACAGAATCATGGATTACAGAACTAGTGGACATGGAAGTGAAATCTCAATGTGATGAATAAGCAGCCCACAGAGTTTCCTCTCTGGTCTCGTGGTGCTCCAAAGAACCCTTTTAGGAAGTCCAACCTGCTGGTTTCATTCCCTCAAAACCTTCAGAATTCTTCTTCTCTTTCTTAATAATGAAAACTCAATTACAGCTGCAGAACAGATCAAAGTCAGACTTTTGTTTGAAAGATGAATCACAAACAAACAGAAAGCAAACAGCTAAATTCACTGAATCCAGATTTCTTTCCTTTTTGGTTTAAAACCTAACTGAGTGACTTTAAATGAGGCTCTTGCAGTGGGTCTGTGGAGCCGCTGATGCTGATAGAGGATCCTGTGTTCCCTCCAGGACATGCTGGTGTTCCTGTACCTGGAGGGGCCGTACACCAGGGGCGTCTTCAGGCGCTCAGCCGGGGCCAAAGCCTGCCGGGAGCTCCGGGACAGACTGGACAACGAAGCCGAGGACCCGGAGATCACACACCAGTCCGTGTTCGTCATCGCCGCTGTGCTCAAGGTAACACACACACACACACACATACGCGCACACACACACACACGCGCTGCCTCGTCACACTGGTTCGAAACCCAGACGATCAGAAAGCGACTGATGTGCGTCCAAAGTCCCGTTAGGTCCAGACGGGATAATCTGTCTCTGCACAGCCAGGCGGGCTGCTGCTCTCTCTCTCTCACACACACAAGGTGCTGCTTTGTTCAGCCTGCAGGTCAAACAGCCGCCGCAGCGCCGGGCCTCCGGGGACCAGGTCCAGGTTTTATACCCGAGCCGGTTCGTCCCACGTCTCTGTTGTGCTTCACAAAAGGACCGAGCCTCCCCTGAGACAAAGACAATGCTGTTAATCAGTCACTGACAGAAAAGGACTTCATGTTATGTAAAAATAGTGTTTTCAGTAAAACTACAGTGAGATGGATGCAGTCATTAAATGATGAATATTGGTCTTTATAAAGTCTTTTTATTATTATTTCACACTCTGTGAAGCTGTTTTAATAATGTTGTTGAATTATTTTACTCCACTAAAGAAATTCTTCGTTGAATAACACGGAAGTCGACTAATCGATTCGTTGATTAAATCATTTTCTCCACAAAGATTCAAACAGAAGCACAACTTTAAATCTTGTGTTTACCAGAAAAAAGCCTAAAGAACGACTTAACGACGATTAGTTGAGTAATGTTGACTTCATGCATTTATTTATGAGAACTTTGGTTCATTTATCTGCTGAAGGTTTTTTAGACTATTCCATTTTATCAAAGTGAAAATACAAAACATGTGCAGCTACTTCTCCTCAGCTGTGTGTATATCGATGTGTGTATATCGATGTGTGTATATCGATGTGTGTATATTTTCGTGACATTTCGTTTCTATTTCTTCTGATTTTTATGGACTCGATGATTAACGCAGACCTTGATGTTGATTCTTGTGCATCCAGGACTTCCTGCGTAACATCCCGGGCAGCTTGCTGAGTGCGGATGTGTACGAGCAGTGGATGGAGGTGATGGAGGGGGAGGGAGGAGACGAGAGGACGCACGCTGTCCAGAGGTAGGGTCCTCTCATTCAATGCCCACATCCTCCTAAATCCTAAACACGTTGCTCAGCACACACACACACACACACACACACACACACACACACACACACACAGACACAATGAGTCATACAGACGTTCCTGATACAGATGTGTGACATGTTGAAGGAGAAGACCTGATGTGTTGTGAAGGCTTGTGGTGGTTCCACATGGTGCTGTTTACGTCTGCAGAGGACCAAACACAGAGAGGACGACGCTTCGTCTCCAGAGGCAACAAACTAAATTCCTTTTTGCTTCAGGAAAACAAAAAACGTTACAAAGAAAGCTTTCGTGGAGAACACACAGAGAGAGAACAAGTGTTTTCATGTTCCTCTTTCTCTTCTGTCCGTCGCTCTCAGGTTGCTCCGCCTCCTGCCCGGCGACAACCTGCTGCTGCTGCGTCACGTGGTCGCCGTGCTGCACTGCATCCAAGGCAACGCCCACGACAACCAGATGAACGCCTTCAACCTGTCCGTCTGCATCGCTCCCAGCATGCTTTGGGCTCCGGCGCCGAGCACCCCCGAGATGGAGGGGGAGGGCACCAAAAAGGTGAGGAGGAACCCACACACACAGGACTGATACGAGGGCCGAGACTAAAAAAAGTATTATCGTTAGTAACGTACGCCGTGTGGGGAGATCATGCGTCCGGTCGTGTGTGATTGTGCACATGTGGATCTGTCTGTCCGTCCACGGTTAATATCCCATACTACTAGACCAGCTGGAAAACATCCGGTGTATCAAGTGTCTTAAAGCTGCATT